GCCAGGCCCTAGATCCATCCTACCTCCTTCCCAAAGCCGGGAAAGTGCTAACTAGGCTTTAGGAAGAAGGGAGGAAGACTCTAGGACCCTGCCAGAGCCCTCCTGCCTCCTTTCCAAAGCCCAGCGCCTCGCTTACCCATCTTTGGGAAGGCAGCACGAGGGCTGGTGGGGTGGTGGCTTGAAATGTTGCTGAGGGCCACCAAAAAGGTATTGAGGGCCGCATTCATGTGTGTTGGACCACCTGCTCTGGAACATGGGAAAGGGGCTTATGATTAGCCAGAGCATCACTTCATCTAGCTGAGTGCTGTCGACATTGGCCGGCTTAATATCTTGAGGGTTTCAGGCAGGAGAAGGTTTCCAACCTTACATGGAGATGCCAGGGATTGAACTTGCGACCTTCTGCATGCAAGGCAGGTGTTCTGCCACTGAGCTATGGCCCTGACCTTAAGCTACGGTGCTTTCCCATCTCTCTCCACTTGGCTCCATATCTGAAAATTAGCCATAGAAGTAGGTTGGAGCATGGATTCGTTCTGCTTTACAGGGCCCACAAGCTGCCTCTGATCATTTCCTATCTCATTTCGGGGAAACTTTTAGAAATTTTAAATGTTGTCAGTGTTTGTGCAATGTCTATTAGATGTACTAACCCATTGCCTATCCCAAGAGTAAACATTGATTAATGCATTTGTGTGTCGAGGTCCCCAAGCCACCCAATAAATCACAATTCACACAGAATTTTTGTTTAAGGTTTTTGGCATAATTTTGGCCACAACTCTATTAAAATACAAAAAATGTGAGTGGTTGCTTAGGCATTGGTTGCGACTATCTGTCCCCGCCCAGGGACAGACTGACATTCTCACGCCCACGAAAGTCAGAAAGGGAAAACATTTTGGGGAGAAAGATGGAGCTGGGTACCATGCCCTCACCTCTCCCCAAATGCTCCCAGGGGCTCCTGCGTGGCCCTAGCCCCTTGACAGGGGTTTGGACAAAAGCATGGCAAGCCCCTGGATTCCTTTAACGGAATACCCTTGCAGCCACATTGGAGGGGCAGGCACAGCCAATCCATTCCCCTCCACCAACCAATTCATAAAAACCAATGCCTAACCGCAACCTTACAAGTTGTGACGGTTTGCTATGCAGTAGGCAAAAACCAAATGGCACTAGCCAATCAGCCAAAAGGACAAAATCCCTACCAGGCCCCTGCCCCAAAAGCAGATGACCCCATGACAGGCATAGCAAGGTCAAAGCGAACAACCCTAAATATAGGGAGGGTGGGCTGGTAATCCGATGCATGCAGCGAAAAGAGGAAGCTCAACGCTGCGCGCAGGGAATATAAAACTTCTTGGCTGTCAATCAAAAACTGGCAACATCAAATTCTCCCCACCGACAAGGGGAGCCCAATTGCAATGGTGGCCAACTACCTTTACCTGCCCAGCAACAGTGGGATGTCTTGTAAGACCCCACCACAACACGTGCTCTCCATGAAGGAGAACACGCTTTCATAAAATCAAAGAACCGTAGAGTTGGAAGGGACCCTAAGGGTCATCTAGTCCTACCCCCTGCAATGCAGGAATCTCAACTAAAGCCTCCATGGCAGCTATTTCCATGGCAGCTATTTTATAGTGCAGCCAGATCCATTGTGAGATGGGCAAAGTATGTGGGACCTCACATACACTAACTTCATATCTGCTGCTAGTCTATGCCGCCCCCTAACACTGATCAGATGGCATAATGGCAGAATAGAATTGTGTCCTAAACATCTACTAAACCTTATTTGTTTTTTTGCTTTTATTGAAGTACCCTGTGACGTTGGTTTATTAACACACCTGCTTTGACAGCCGATACAAGACAGGCTGCTGTTTAGAAGAAACTGAATTTGGGGTGAATTAGGCACAGTGAATCTCTAGCAAATGTTTTATCGGGTGTTATAAGACTCCAAAGTTCAATTCTCCACATTTCCACACAAGTTTTCCAATCTTCTTAAAGTAATGAACATTCACCAGGATTTTGTGCAAATTTCTTCTAATACAAACATTTTTTATGTTCTTTTCGCAAATATATTCATTTAATGCACACTTCATCTAGTATATGCATTTTTGGGGGGAGAGGGTACACATTACTTAGAGAACTGCACTGCAAAGTTCAGAAAAGTGCACATTTTGAAGGATGGCTGTGTGTTGGTCCTCATTTTTGCAAAGCACAAATTAGGGAGCTTTGCCTTTAAATGCAAACTGAATTGAATTTGACTCCCCCATCCCCATGCTAAATGCAAACCCTCCCCTTACTTAAGGGCATCTGCAAATTTTGTGAATTGCTGCACAAGATAATTAGTCCCAGATAAACAGAGCCCATCTTTTGTGCACTGGAAAGTTGGGAGGGGTGGGTGGGATCCTGTTCCAGGAAATTCAACCCAAAGCTTTGGTAGGGTGGGGGATGAATGGTGTCAATCAGAGGAGGCTTAAATGAAGCTCTGGCACATATGTTTGCGGAAAATAACTCTCAACCAAGGTAACACTTGAGAATTACGAAACCACAAATAGATCGCAGCTGAGTGAACAGCTGAATTGTTAAGCTCCCGAGTTCATGGTAACAGCAGATAGGTGTCACAACACAGCAGTGTGGCTTACAACTGTGGAAGCCATGTGTATTTTGTCTCTGAGCTTGTGTAACAGTTTGTTGCCCGTTTAGTTCATACAGTTCCAGTTCAGTCCTGGTTCGAGAAACTCCAAGCTCTGATTCCCAGAGGTGTTGGCTCCTAAAAGTCTGTTTTGATAGCTGCCCTTCCACGGGATGGTTGAGAACATTTGTAGAATGAATGCTCCTTAATATCAAGGGAAGAGGTTTAGTGGGTAGAGCCCACCCTTTGCATGTAAAAGGTTCCAGGTTCAGTCTTCTCCTGGAGGATGCTCCAGCAGAGCTGGGAAAAGCTTCTACCTGAAACCTTGGACAGCTGCCAACAGTCAGTTTGGACCTGATGCTCTTGGACTTCAAATCCCATGAGCCTCAGCTGGCATACTAGATGGTCAGGGATGATGGGAGGTGCATGAAACATCTGTTGGGTTACAGATGCCCTATTCCGCACCAACAAGAACTAAGCACTGTTCATAAACCCAATGCGAAGCATGGTCCAAATATGACCGGGCACACAAGGGAAGGGAATGGGTGGGGGAAAGTAATACTAATGGTCCGAGGGCACATTTTGCAGCCACCTTGCTGAAGCTAAATCCTCCTGGAGGCTGTCATCCATCTCAGGTTCCTCATCCCCAGTGTAGACAGTACTGAGCTAGAGGGATTGGTATTTCTGACTCTCTGCAAGGGAGCTTTGGGAAAGATGGAGGACACAAGGAGAAGGGGACGACAGAGGACGAGATGGTTGGACAGTGTTCTCGAAGCTACCAGCATGAGTTTGACCAAGCTGCGGGAGGCAGTGGAAGACAGGAGTGCCTGGCGTGCTCTTGCCCATGGGGTCACGAAGAGTCGGACACAACTAAATGACTAAACAACAACAAGGGAGCTTCCTGTGTCCATTTGCTTGGAATATAGTCTCTCTTTCACACACACACACACACACGGCTGATTTGTAAAGTTAATCTCCACAGTGCAGAATCATATCTCGAGGGCTGTCACATGGAAGAGGGAACATGATTGTTTTCTCCTGCTCTGGAGGGTAAGACTCAAACCAATGGCTTCAAGTTACAAGAAAGGAAATGCCAACTAAACATCAGGGAAAAATTCCTGAGAGTAAGAGCTGTTCAGCAGTGGAACTGTCTCCCTCAGGAGGTTGTGGACTCCCCTTCCTTGGAGGTTTTTAAGCAGAGGTTGGATGGCCATCTGTCATGGATGCTTTAGCTCAGGCTTCCTCAAACTTGGTCCTCCAGATGTTTTTGGCCTACAACTCCCATGATCCCTAGCTAGCTGGACCAGTGGTCAGGGATGATGGGAACTGTAGTCTCAAAACATCTGGAGGGCCATGTTTGAGGAAGCCTGCTTTAGCTGCATATTCACTGCATTCATCACTGTCACCACAGCAGTGGCAGCAGCAATGGGCAATGCATTTCTTGGAGTCCGGATCTGCTGTCCCTGTGGATTCTGCCACCTGAGGTGGTCTCTTAACCTTGCCTCAAGGGTGGGCCGGTGCTAGCTTTGCCTGCATGCAATTATCCACACAACAGACTTAACTGGTTGTTCCCCCATTCCAAAGCATTGTAAGTTAGATCTGAATCATTGTTGTGAATCAAAGATGTAACTGGCTGATAGCTTGTGCAAGCAAGCCATTCCCCCACTTTTTATTGATCTATCAAGAAGATCCACAAACCTGCTTTCCATTCAGGACACTTATCCACAACGGAAAAATATACAATTTTCATTCACTCTTTGGCTAGGGAGGTACACATTACATTATCTAAATGTGGGTGCAACACATTGCTGCAGCTACAGATGGGAGGGTATAGATTTTTGCAGAGGGCAGGTATTCTGGTATGTAGCTCCTCGACCCCCATCCCTGCTTGTCTGCCCGGCCCATGTAAAGTGTAAGGTTGTCTGGTCCTCTGAGAACACGGGTGACAATAAAACGCTCAGAGCATTGACACCTAAATACCAAGTACAGCTGCAGATCTCTCTGTCCAGTTCTTCTTGTGGTCCTCAAGATTTGTGCAAGAACGCTGTGTTCCAGACCAAGAAAGACACCTGGCAATGTCTTTCTTGGAGGAAGATAAGAGGAGTCCATTACAATTAGCAATAAGACCAGACATCAAAGCTCCCATCTGAGCCAAGCTGCCCCCAAATGTCAAGGGTACTTGGATCTTGGGTGGTTATTCTAAATGCCATGGATTGCTCCTGCCTATCATGTCCCATGTGTGCTGTTCCAAACACTGGGAAATAATCTGAAGGCAAAGGCTTGATTAACATCTAAACAAAATATGGAGACGAATGGGTGTGCCCCCCAGTGCGACGATACTTCATCCAACTATATTTCTGATGGATTCGTCTTGGATTTTGGGGGAAGGGCTGTAGCTCAGTGGTAGAGAATCTGTTTTGCATGCAGGAGGCATAAGGTTCAATACCCGACATCTCTAAGCAGGGCTAAGAGAGACCCTGGAAAAGCCACTGAAGCCTTGGACAGTCACTGCCGGTCAGTGTAGACAATATTGAGCTACACCAGCCTTTCTCAACCTGTGAGTCCCCAGATGTTGTTGAACTACAACTCCCATCACCCCTAGCTAGCAAGGCCAGAGCTCAGGGATGATGGGAGTTGTAGTCCAACAACTTTTGGGGACCCACAGGTTGAGAACCGCCAAGCTAGACGGACCAATCTTGTGACTCAGACTAAGGCACTGTCCTGTGCTGCCATGGCTTCTCTGACTGGCAGCTCGCCTCCGAGGTCTCAGCCAGAGATCATTCCCAGTTCTGATTTCTGAAACTCTTTAACTGGAGATGCCAGGAATGAGCTTGGGACCGTTTGCATGCCGAGCACGTACTTTCCCACTGAGCTACGCCCCCCCTCCTTTGCACAGATGTATAATGGGGTTAGATTCTGCACCCAAGCGGTACCTTGCAATGGGAGTGCTGTACTAAATCCCGCTTTCTTTCGGCCAAGCCACAATGTTGTCCCAAGCATCCAAACCAAGTGATGCGAATCTAGTGGAAAAGAATGCTTCCCATATGTGGAAAGGGAATGACTCCCCTTCCCCCCCACCAACCCCAGGGTTGTCCATTGCACTTCTCGGCCAAGGAAAAACAAAAATCTGCAGCAGCTAAAGTGATTTTCCAGGATCAGCTCTACTGATCTCACGGAAGAGCCTGCCTCTGAGTACAGCAAAGCTTTGTAATTTATGCCAGAGGTGATTTCCCAAAATAGAAAGCAAAACGAGAAATCAGAGACTTGTTTTGCTTGCTTCTCCTTGGAGCAGGGGTACCCAACCCCTGGCACAGGAGCCTGATGCAACCCCCACACGGTCTTTTCTGCCCCTCACAGACCCCAACAGTTTGAGCGGCAGTGGTCAGGTGGGTGGGAAGTTTAAACCTCTCTGCCCAGCCCAGTGTCTTGATGGACCTTCAGTTGTCTGATGAGCAGGGAGTTGGTGATTTTGCACCCTCAACTGCACAGCTTAGCTGAGGAGCAAGGGTCTGTGTGTGTCTGTATGTTTGTCCTCTCTCTGTGTGTGATGACCTCTTCATTGAGCATTTTGTCCCGATTTGCTTGCACCAAGCTTATGCGGTCATCAGATTACAGGCACTTCCAGACTGTTGCAATTTTGGAGTCAGATTCAATCACATACTGGTAGATTCAGATTGCAAGGCTGTAGTTGACTGGGAGGTCCTGTGTTACAAACCCGCTTCTCCAAAAGATTAAGTAATTAAGGAAAGGATGAGGAAATGCACTGGAAAATCTGGGATAACATTTGCTTTAATGCAACGTCTTCTGATCTCCCTGCAAACAAATCAGGATGAACGTTCGATAAACAAGGCCTCTGAACCACCAGTGCGAGAAAAAGATGCAGAAGTAGGTGGGCTTTCCATCTGATCTAGCAGACCTCTTTTTAATTTCTTAGGCTTTGTACACACCATACCTTCAAAGCACCCCCAACCCAGAATCCTGGGAACTATAGTTTATCTCTCATGGAGCTACAGCTCCAACCTTCCTTAATTAACTCCCTGGATTCTTTGGGGTGGGAAAATAGGCTTTAAAGGTGTGGTGTGGGGAGTGGCCGCCGGGACCACATTAACACCGGTCCTGAGGGATCTGCATTGGCTCCCAGTACGTTTCCGAGCACAATTCAAAGTGTTGGTTTAAAGCCCTAAACGGCCTCGGTCCTGTATACCTGAAGGAGCATCTCCACCCCCGTCATTCAGCCCAGACACTGAGTTCCAGCGCCGAGGGCCTTCTGGTGGTTCCCTCATTGCGAGAAGTGAGGTTACAGGGAACCACAGGGCCTTCTCGGTAGTGGCGCCCACCCTGTGGAACGCCCTCCCACCAGATGTGAAGGAAATAAGCAGCCATCTTCTCTTTAAAAGACATCTGAAGGCAGCCCTGTTTAGGGAAGTTTTTAATGTTTAATGCTGTATTGTTTTTAACACTTGATTTGAAGCTGCCCAGAGTGGCTGGGGAAACTCAGCCAGATGGGCGGGGTATAAATAATAAATTATTATAATATTATTATTATGGTGTGTATGTTGGGAGTAAGACCCATTGAACTTGTTATGAGAAACAACTGCTCCTTTTCCCTATCCAAAAGCCCGTATAGAGTCCCTAAGTGGGTTGCCTATGTCAGGAGCTTGTCCTACTCTCGAGTAGGACCCTGACAGAGACACTTGCCCGACTGGCATGTTCCTTCCCTCCTGGTCAATCGCTCGGGAGCTTCAAAAGCTTTCTTCTGCCCGAACATCGCAGCGACCGATGCCAACAGACATTGGCACACTTAGGGATCAGCAGAGTCTTCGCAGCTTGCATAACAGCAACTCAGCATTTTGGCTAATCTACTTTATTTACATATAAACACACACGGAGCTCTGCAACATGGCTCCCTTTCTCTCTAGCATCAGACAGCAAAGAGAAAAAGAACAAAGGACAATAGTCCCACTTCATGGAACACAGTAACACAAACATCCTGTCTCCGTCACTTCCCACTCTGTGGAGTCAAAACATACACCGTCATGTGATAGACAAAAATCCCATGACTGCAATCACGGAGTAGGAATTCTAACAGCCTATTGGTAGGAGAAAATAACAGAGGCCAACCAGAGAATATTGAGAAGCAAAGCGGCTAGTAAGCCTGATCTTTATTAACTGTTGCAACAGGGTCCCCGCTCACCACATGCAGGAGGGAGGAGAACCCTGAACAATGGTGCACAAGCCCTTATATAGACTTCTGAAATTGTCCACCCTGTAGCCCAAGACCATCTCCCAAAACATCATACATACATCACAGAAGGAGGCGGTCTATAGCAGAAATCCCATCTGGCAGGATAGCTGATGATGGTCACTGTTTTCATTACCTGGGCAGTCTGGCCATTCTTTTGTGATGGTTAATGCTTTAGTTCCTGAATCCAGGTCACAGGTTCACCCTATTCATACACAAATACACCCTTAAGATAGGATTTGTAAGTGAAAAGACAATGGGAAGGCTTTGTCAAAATGGCTTCAGGGTTGTTCTCCTGTACTATTTCAGACACATGGTTTATATACTTATGTGTGTGTTTGAACTCAACAGGACTTGCGTTTGAATAGACTATCAGATTCCTTTATGAGTCAATTAAATAACTTCCATGTTTCAAAACCTCAATGAAAGAACATATTTCTAGCAGCAAAAATAAGCACCAAGTAAATTTATAAATAAAAGCTGAAGCAAAGGCCATATTCCATAGAGACTTTGGAAATATTCTTATATTCAGGAACAGTTCAGCATCAAAATGCTTCCAAAAACCTCATTGGCATTGTGGATGAGCCAGATTTAAAGGACCTGTTGGCAATTGTTTCACTTTCATATGCCTGTGGTTCTATTGCTGGAGGGAAAGACATTTCACATTGCACGGCAAATGTTATCTGCTAACTGAAACAATCTCTCCTTTCATTTCTGCTTTCACAAGCAGAAGCTGCATGATTGTATCCAAGAGCAATTTTCCCTCTGTGAGAGCCGGACACTGGGTTTCAGACTACTATCTCTGCAGGTGTAGTTTCATAAAAAAACTAAAATTTATAGATTTGCCTTTGTTTTGGAGAATTGCACTCAGGATTTGCTTAAACTCCACAAATGAGTGCGACTCGCACACACTATCTTAACGGATGCAGAACTCAAAGTACCGTATTGAATTCTGGTTCAGATGATTTCTGCTGGTAATTCAGAATGCAGCACCTAAATTGACTTGAATGCCTGTTTGCATTTTGGAGGGCAGTATACATAGCACTCGTGAGGCTCAAAGGTAACTTGAAGCTTTGCTCAAGAAGTTTTGTGGCAACAAATGTTCCACTCCCCACCTTCCAGGTTTATGACCCTTCAGTCTCTAAGGGCAAACTCCTCCTTTCCTTGATTTTTGGTGGCAGGTCAACATGTCTCTGCTCTGCTAGGTCTTTCAGCAGTGGGAGTATACTATTGCTGTCTTATTTTCAGATAGAAGAAATACGTACCGCTATATTATATTGGATGAAGTGCTCTTTCAAACACTTTCAAAGTTATATTAAGTAAATGAAAAACGTGCGAGAAGACGACATAATTCAGTTGCTGGAGTCTTCATCTTTGCAAAGGGCCATAAGCTGCAATAGCAGATCATGACTTGTTGCCCCTTCAGACAACCTGTTGATTAAGCAGGAGCACCCGAAGCCGCCTCACTCAGACCATTGGTCCACCTAGCTCAATACTGCCTACACGGACTGGCAACAGCTCTTTGGAGTTCCGGGCAGGGGACCTCCATACTTGGAAATGCTGGAGACTGAACCTGCAACTTTCTGTATGGAAGGCAGACACTCTGCCCCCAAGCTATGACTCCCTAAGAGGAGCTGTGGCTTTGAGGGCTCAGTCCCCTCTGAGCACTGTGAAGGTCCATGATTTCAACACCATCACCCCACTACTGACACTGACAAAACGGATGGCTGAAAATCCAAAGTTAGGCAAGTCATTTGCAACGAGCGGCTTCCTTTGTCTAATAAGAATGGGCTGGGTGAAAACATTGTGTTCCAGACTTTGTTCCTGGATTTGGAGTTGTTTGAAACCCAGTTCTGCAACCTCTCATCTCTGTGACTGATGAGAGGCTGAGTGTTTAATTCTAATCTATACGTGAAATTAACTTTCTTTATGAGTTCTTGTGGGTTCTTCATCTCCAGCCGCTGAGCTTTGTGCAGGCAGCTGTTGGATGAATTCCATGATCTTTGCTGGCCTCTGCTTGCTCATGTCTCAACAGTCATGTGGTCCTGTAACGTTCTGTACTTGAGCGCTGTTTGTGTATAACCAGATTGCTCTTGATGCCCTTTGTTTTCAGATGGTTGCAGATGCAGGATGGAGGGCATTGTTGCTGATATGAAAAGGCTTTTTATACTTTCTGGGTGGATGCGATGCTGATTTCAGATTTACCCTTTTGTGCC